TTGGCAAACTGAGAAACGTCCACCTAGAGACCATGGCTTCGGGCTAATGGCCCTCGTCAGTCTAGGGTGGACTTTATATTTTATAGATCAGTATCCCCCCGGCAAAATTTGCAACATTTTATTTTATATTACAACAATGCGAGAAAGAAACATCGAATTATAATTTATTCATCGTTCTCCAAGAGTTCTTGGCCATCTTTAGATTTTATATTCCAACAATGGTAAACATAGAATCATCATTTATTCATCGTTCTCCAAGAGTTCTTGGCCATCTTTAGATTTTATATTCCAACAATGGTAAACATAGAATCATCATTTATTCATCGTTCTCCAAGAGTTCTTGGCCATCTTTAGATTTTATATTCCAACAATAGTAAACATAGAATCATCATTTATTCATCGTTCCAAGAGTTCTTGGCCATCTTTAGATTTTATATTCCAACAATGGTAAACATCGAGTTATCATTTATTCATCGTTCTCCAAGAGTTCTTGGCCATCTTTAGATTTTATATTCCAACAATGGTAAACATAGAATCATCATTTATTCATCGTTCTCCAAAAGTTCTTGGCCATCTTTAGATTTTATATTCCAACAATGGTAAACATAGAATCATCATTTATTCATCGTTCTCCAAGAGTTCTTGGCCATCTTTAGATTTTATATTCCAACAATGGCAAACATAGAATCATCATTTATTCATCGTTCTCCAAAAGTTCTTGGCCATCTTTAGATTTTATATTCCAACAATGGTAAACATAGAATCATCATTTATTCATCGTTCTCCAAGAGTTCTTGGCCATCTTTAGATTTTATATTCCAACAATGGTAAACATAGAATCATCATTTATTCATCGTTCTCCAAGAGTTCTTGGCCATCTTTAGATTTTATATTCCAACAATGGTAAACATAGAATCATCATTTATTCATCGTTCTCCAAGAGTTCTTGGCTATCTTTAGATTTTATATTCCAACAATGGTAAACATAGAATCATAATTTATTCATCGTTCTCCAAGAGTTTTTGACCATCTTTAGATTTTATATTCCAACAATGGTGAACATAGAATAATCATTTATTCATCGTTCTCTAAGAGTTCTTGGCTATCTTTAGATTTTATATTCCAACAATGGTAAACATAGAATCATCATTTATTCATCGTTCTCTAAGAGTTCTTGGCCATCTTTAGATTTTATATTCCAACAATGGTAAACCTAGAATCATCATTTATTCATCGTTCTCTAAGAGTTCTTGGCCATCTTTAGATTTTATATTCCAACAATGGTAAACATAGAATCATCATTTATTCATCGTTCTCTAAGAGTTCTTGGCCATCTTTAGATTTTATATTCCAACAATGGAATATCGAATCATCATTTATTCATCATCCGAGTGTGTGTGTGAGTGTATTCTTGCCCATCTTTATATTCCAACAACAGGAACATCAAGCAATTCTAAAAACAACTAGTTATTTCTGATATAGATGAAACCATATCTTTACTCGTTTTGTATAACCATACAAGGTCAATTTCTAAAATTTACTTAACAGAAGATTTGGTTACTTGCACTCGCTGGTGGGGTTGGACTTTTGCAAGAATCGGGGGCCATTGGATTAAATAAAAGAGTGAAAAAATAATTTTGACATCAAATGCTATTGAATCTCAGGGTCCAGAAGGGAGTTGGTACCATTGACATAGAGGTCAGGGGAGTCAGGCGAGTGTGTCCACCATCCAGTCAAGTGTGATGGGACACGTCATCCATTGTTGGAGGCCACGTGGTCTTCGGAACACTCTTGGAACAACCAAACTTCTGACTGGTAGCAGAACATTCCATATACATGTACATAAACACCAATCACAAACTTCTAACAGGCCATGACAATTGACAATTAAAAAACAGTGTATTGACATCTAGTCAACGGTCAAAAGAGAGTTCACAAAGTTTAAAACAGTGTAGGAAATATGTACATCAGTAGGCCTTCACTGAAGGGACGTCCGGATCTCAGGAGCCCAAATCCTCCATAAGTTTAGGCAGGCCATGGTTAAGTCTGGTCAGAAGTAAACAATCTCCACATTGTCACAAGGAGAAGTCATAATCTACAATTGCCCATCAGTATAGAAATATTTCAAAGATTGCTCAAAGCTTTTTCTACTGGTACATGGCAACAGAGATAGTCCCCATATGTGTATGACAACAGAGATAGTTCCCATAAGTGTATGACAATAGAGATAGTCCATATAGGTGTATGACAATAGAGACGGTCCTTAGTCCCAATGCACCTCTACGTGCACCTTGTCATGACACGCTAATGCATCGTATTATAATTGTTTAAAAATACCATTGCTGAAAAACATTGTTAGAATTATACTATATACAGTTAAACCTGTCTATAGCGCCCTCTATTGAGACTCACCAAAATAGGGTCCAATAGAGAGGGGTTGCTATAGACAGGTCACTTTTAATGTAAATCGTATCGTACTACGTATTTAAAATCGGGCGCTATAGAGAGGGAGGCGCTATTTAGAGAAGGTGCTATAGACAGGTCACTTTTAATGTAAATCGCATCGTACTACGTATTTAAAATCGGGCGCTATAGAGGGAGGCGCTATTTAAAGAGGGCGCTATAGACACGTCACTTTTAATGTAAATCGTATCGTACTACGTATTTAAAATCGGGCGCTATAGAGAGCGCTATAGACACGTCACTTTTAATGTAAATCGCATCGTACTACGTATTTAAAATCGGGCGCTATAGAGAGGGAGGCGCTATTTAAAGAGGGCGCTAAAGACACGTCACTTTTAATGTAAATCGTATCGTACTACGTATTTAAAATCGGGCGCTATAGAGAGGGAGGCGCTATTTAGAGGGGGTGCTATAGACAGGTCACTTTTAATGTAAATATAGCATCCTACTACGTATTTAAAATCGGGCGCTATAGAGAGGGAGGCGCTATTTAGAGGGGGGCTATAGACAGGTTTAACTGTATTTATAATTATATGTATTTATACTGTCCCTCTCAAATCTTATTTCTATAGTTAATTTAAAATACCTTTTCTAAAAGTTTTTTTAAATTCAGTATCAGTATAAAAGGAAAACAGCCAAATACAATATTACAGCGGTAGGGTAGATTAAACTGGCGAAATTGCTGATGATCCAGGCTCTCCTGTTAATTTATCATTGCAGTAAGGACAGTAGAAATTGTTTAATATCAAAAAGAATCAAACATGTTAAAAATAATTCAGATTTCATATAACATATGGCGGGGTAATGCATCATATCAAAAGAATCTGGTACAGTAAACTCTCCTATAACACGATTAATGTGTTCCGTGTTGTATAGAATCGCGTTATAGGAATTCGCGTTGTACGAAATAAAACTTGTATAACGCGAATGTTTTTGTGTCTGGATGCTATATTTATGGCGAACTAAATAACTTAGTCCCTATTTCTGCTCCGCGCTTATGAAATTGAAGACTTGGGGCGATGGCGTCGACCTTTCATATTAAATCTTACTTTTCCTTATTACTAATAATTGTATATAGTTGCGGAACTACTGGTTTCCTGTGCTGCTCTTTTCCTGATATTGCACCTTGTACGGAGAATCTGTATAAGACTAACGTCTTAATAAAGGCTTTGTGTGTGTGTGTATAACGCGAATGTTGTTTGGGTAAATTGTTTTTTTTTATAACGCGTTATACGAAAATTCGCGTTGTATAAATAAATTTGTCGCAATTTTTTTTATAGCGTTGTACGAAATCGCGTTATAGGAGAGTCTACTGTATTTTAACTTAACGGAAATATCTTTATTTATGGGGCTGCTAACCAAAATGAATGATTTTTGAGCCCCATGGACGCTAAGTATGTAAAATTTTGCAAAATTTTGTAAAATTTAATTTACCATGATAGGGTAGCTAAGTCATCTCAGACTAACATGGTAGGGCCAGGTCATCCACCACAGGTCAGGTGGCTTGACTACAGGGAAGGGGCGTCTGAGTCTATCTTTGATTCTGGCTTGTTGTTATCGAGGCTAAATGTGACCTCAGGCTCCATCTCTTCCCATCAAAATCACTAGAGGTTTGTTGCTTAGATGGACAAAGGTGGGACATAGGTGGGGTTCTGAGTGATTTTGGTATACTATGGTCACGAGGTGTCCTAACAATAGCAAAAGAATCTGGTACACCTATCCCCCGATTTACACGGTACTTGTTTTACACGTTTTCGCTTTTACACGGTTTTCCAAATAAGTTTTTTTTTTGTTTTTATCGCACTATACTAAATGCTACTGTGATTGAACACATGCGCTGTGTACACATCTCACGAGGAATCCCGAGCTTATGTGCTGACTACATATTTTAACCTGTCAATGCATTTTATTTTTATTTCTGTGTACACCTATCCCCCGATTTACACGTTTTTCTCAGGAACGTATCTACCGTGTAAATTGGGGGATAGGTGTATTTACATTTCGCGTAATAGAGTAGATAAGCAAGTAGAGGTCAAGTAGAGTCTTCTTCTCCATCCCAATATGGAGAAAGACATTCTCAATTGCACTTGAAGTTGGAAATGGCTTCTAAAAGTCAGATGAACCAGCTACTAGGTCAAAGAGATATGGATACTGGAGATAAAGGAATCCATCGCATTATTTCCTACTAAATACCTCAATGAATGCTCAGCAAAAGAATCCTGGCAATCATCATGTCCGGCAGATATGGGTCGCTTCGGCCGTCAACCATCCCTACTGTTGAATAGCGGTATATCCGCACCATGAGGTTATTTGGAAAAATTGAAGTTGCTAATGAATAAATATAGAAATAAAACGTTGTCCCAAAAGTTCGTAAACATATTATGATTTTAAACAATACTTAAAGTTACGCCGCATAAGTTTCTTTTCTATGAAGAATCAATATTTTTTTCAAAGAGAAATATTTACTATTTCTAACTTTTTTGAATGAAGTATGAGAGGGTGAAAATATGAAGAGTAATGGCGAACGGAAAAATAAAAGTGTCCAGGGGCGGGAATCGAACCCACAACCTTCTGCTTACCGGGCAGGTGCCATGTCCACTAGGCACTTATGCGGCGCAACTTTAAGTATTGTTTATAATCACCCGCCGCAGTCCTTTATAATGTATTATAAGTTACTTTAAATATTATTTACGAACGGAAGAATACGTCCAGGGTAGCCTAGTGGACATGGCACCTGCCCGGTAAGCAGAAGGTTGTGGGTTCGATTCCCGCCCCTGGACACTTTTATTATTCCGTTCGCCATTACTCTTCATATTTTCACCCTCTCATACTTCATTCAAAAAAGTTAGAAATAGTAAATATTTCTCTTTGAAATAAATATTGATTTTTCATAGAAAAGAAACTTATGCGGCGTAACTTTAAGTATTGTTTATAATCACCCGCCGCAGTCCTTTATAATATATTATGATTTATATTGTTGCTTCATGGCTAATGAACCTATTTTATTTTAATTTGTAATATTAATTTTCATATATATTAAATTCAAATTTATATTTATTTATTTTATTAAACAGAATATATATATATATATTATAAACAGAATATATGTATTATAGAATCACCATTTGTATTTAGGTACACGTGTGACTTCACAGCTCTATTTGATGTGAGAAATAAATAAATAATTCTGGAGGCTACTTAAAGCAGAGTTATCTCATTATTCCTGTAAGAAAGCCTAGGCAAATTTTGCAAGATTAAAAGAAAGAAGACTTTATGCAAACTAGGCTTTAGGAAAAGATCTATGCAAGTCAACTTCCACAGATTAAAATTAGGTACAGCACGTTTCCTATAAAAACTAGGATAACATCAAGTGCAGGAGGAGTCCCCAAGAAGACGAGGCTTTGTGCGCTTCGAGTGAGCAGCTGGGATTGTCGCTGTCCTTGTTTTAGTTCCTTTGGCTTTAACTGTTTTAATTGTTTAACTTTCCTTCCTTGAAATATTAGGGCAATCAAGTAGTGAGCCTATTAAATAATTTTACGAAGTTTATCTCTGATTTTTCCAGCAAAGTAGGTAGAGAGGATCTACTTGGACAGAACACTTAAATTGTTATATGAAAGTGGCGGACTTTCCTAGTATTCTCGTTCCGCTACCTGACATTTTTTGGTGAGCCTGGACGTGATTCTGCTCAAGTGGATTATTGTTTATCGGAGATATTTTGATACAATGGCTCTAAGTTTGTGTATCAAGAAGCGAGCCCCCGTGAGAAGTCAAGTTACAAAAATTTACAAGTAAATTATTTCTAATTTGGAAAGTGAATCCAAGGATTATTTTAAGGCAACAGTTGGAGTCAGAAGAATTCAGGATGTACAGAAAGTACTGTTGTCGTCTCTGATAAAGAGATAATCGACATTTTGGCAGAAGATGATGAAGCGGATCTAGAAAAGGAAATGGATGATTGTGCACATTATCAAGAAATCATAATTGAAGCAATTGTTGCTTATGAAGATGCTCAAAAACAAGTTGCGAAAAAGGTTGTAGTTCAAGATTCTTTTCTAGATACTACAGAGAAAATAAGGCTTCCCACCATTGAATTACCGAAGTTTAGTGGTAATTTGATAGATTGGTTAACTTTTTGGGCTCAATTTGAGAAGATTCATCTTGATATCAGACTAAAGGATAGCGACAAGTTCTATTATTTACTTCAAAGTTTGAGTGTAGACACTGAGGCCTATTAAATCGTATCTATTTATCCGCTTACTGAAGAAAATTATTCTAAGGCGATTGATGCTTTAAGAAGACGTTATGCTAATCCTGATTTGTTGTTACAAGTATATGTGAGAGAACTGCTCAAGTTGGTCATCGATAGCGGAAAGAAAAAATTATCTTTTCATGAACTATATTATAAACTTCAATCTTATCTTGGTGTGTTCTTTAAAGAGTTTGAATTTGGAAAGTGCAGTCCCGGACACATGGCTGTATCCCTTAGTGGAATCGTGTCTATCTGACGAACTATTGCTAACGTGGCAACGAAGATCTCAGTTCATCAAGCTTGATGTTGAACATCAGACGAGACTAGATCAACTGATGGACTTTTTGGAAAGGGAGATTTTGATTCAACATAATATCCAGTTAGCTAAAGGCGGTTTCCAAATTGCTGAAACTTCCGACCAAGAGAGAAAGAAAGGATTTAATAAGAAGAAAAATGATATTCCAACGGTGACCGGATTACAACAAACAGAATTAGGCGGATGTATATTTTGTGACAGGAAGCATGCGAGTCAAAATTGTTTTGCCGCTAAAAAGATGTCTTTAGAAGAAAAAAAGAAAAGTCATCCGTGAAAAGAAGGTTTGCTTCAAATGCTTAAAAGGACGCCATCTTGCTAGATATTGCAGAACAAGGGTTAGGTGCTACAACTGTGGCTCGTCTCATTTTTTAATTATGTGCACTCGAGGAGATAGAAATAATAAAGAGGCTGCTCAATTGGGAATTGAACCAGAATTGACTAATCAAAATTCAGAAAGGGTAAACAACGGGTTTCACATCGCGAAAATTCTGAATCTTTTGATGCTACGGTGAAACCAAACGAAGATCTGAAAAAGCATAATGATTGTTCCAACCATGTTTGTCAGCGGAATGTTGCTCTTCAGACATTGATGTTGAATGTTATTGCACCAAAGGGGAGGAAATTAGTGCGCGCCTTTTTTGATTCGGGTTCTCAACATACTTATATTTTGAAGACAACAGCGAAAGAATTAGGACTGAAACCTGTGACGAAAGAGATTGTTCATCATGCTTTATTTTGCGGAATTCAAACAACGGCTGTTACGCATAATTTATATGATGTTCAGTTAAAGGCAGACGATGAAAATTTTGTTTGCAAAGTCACTGTTCTTGATCAGTCAAAGATCTGTCAAGCCCTTCCAAGAATTCCCAAAACAAGTTTAATTTCTAAAGAGTTGGAACAAAGAAAAATTAAAGTTACAGATCTTGGAAATGACAACCCACCTATAGAGCTCCTCATCGGGGCAGATATTTACGGAAAATTGATGACTGGAAAAACGCTGCAACTGGATTGTGGTTTAACAGCTATGCTTACCCATTTTGGTTGGACGTTATTGGGCAGCTTGAAGGAATGGTCTGATGAAGAAAATTCTATGCTAGTTGTGTCCATGAATACTATGTTTGGAGATTCAAGACAGAATTTTTCCATCTCGCAACTGTGGGATTTGGATACTATTGGAGTGAGAGATCCGGTAGAAGTGAAATCTTCAGTAGAACAAGAAACTGCTTTTAAAAATGAATTTTTGAAGAACATCTCCAGAAACAAAGATGGACGATACGTGGTTCCATTGCCTTGGATCGAGGGTCACCCTCCACTACCTACAAACGAAATTGCTGCGCATAAAATATTAGTCAGTACCACCAGGAAGCTTAAAACTAGCAGTAAATACGACGAATATGATTATCTTTTCAAGGAATGGGAAAGGGAAGGCTTGATTGAAAATGTAAACAATGCTAAGCCTACTGAAATTGTTCATTATCTTCCACATCGACCTGTTTACAAAGAGAGTGCTTCTACGCCAGTTCGCCCAGTGTTTGATGCGTCGTGCAAAATTGATAAACATCCTTCACTCAACGATTGCTTATGGACTGGAAGCAACTGTGTTAAAAAAATTATGGAACTTTTGATGCGCTTTCGAGAAAAAAAAAAAGAATTGGTTTTACGGCTGATATTAGAAGAGCATTTCAGACTATTGAGGTTCGAGAAGAGGATAGAGATGCAATGCGATTCCTGTGGTGGCAGAATCAATACGAAAATCAAGTACAAGTATATCGTCATACAAGAGTTATGTTTGGCGCTACATGTAGTCCATTTATTTTGGGAACTGTACTAGAATATCATCTGACTCATATGAACATAGAAGATTCGAAGATCGCTGAAAAAATTGTTAAACTCTTTTTACATAGATAACAGCGTTGGATCCGAGGATAGTTTGGAATCATATTTAGCTTTTAAAGAAAAATCGATCCAATTATTAAGGGATGCTAAGATGGATTTGAGAATGTGGCAATCAAATGCGGAAGAATTTCAACACGATACGGAAGCCATTACCATGATTCTAGGAGTTCGATGGGATCGAAGAAGAGATTTGTTGTTTATTGATACAAGCAAAATTGATTTGCCGTCGGAAGTAACTAAACGGACAATTTTGTCTACGGTACAACGTATTTTTGATCCTTTCGGTATATTAGGACCAGCGTTGATACCTATGAAATCTCTTCTACAACGGACTTGGATTAAAAAAATTAAATGGGACACACCTATTATTGGCGCTGAAAAAAGATCTTTTGAAGATTGGTGCAAAAATATACCCTTGCTTACTCAGCTCAAGTTCCCACGTGCTATGATAAAGGACGAGATCGATAAGAGGAGTTGGTCTTTGCACTTGTCTACTGATGCGAGTCGGACAGCTTACTCCGCAGTGGTATTTCTCCGGGTAGAAAATGAAGAAATACAAGTCAGTTTTATGTCTGCTAAAACACGAGTGACTCCAATGAAAAGAGAAATACTCAAAAAGAATAAGAAAACTGGCGAAAGCGAAATGATTGTCAAAGAGATCAGTATTCCTAGACTGGAACTTCTTGCTTGCCTGATTGGTAGCCGGTTACTCTCGACAGTGAAAAGGTCTCTAAACATCACTGATATAAAGGAATTTTATTGGACTGATTCCACAGCGGTTTTGGCTTGGATTAAAAGAGAAGAAATATGGAATACTTTTGTGGGAAATCGAATAAGGGAAATTAGAGAACTTACCCTTCCAAACAATTGGAGACATATTCAAGGTACGAGGAATCCTGCCGATCTACCATCCAGAGGATGTTCGCCGTCTCAACTTCTACAATCTAAATGGTGGGAGGGGCCGAATTGGCTTTATGAAAGGGAAAACAAGTGGCCGATTTCCACAGAAATGATAGACGAGATTCAAGTCGATAAAGAAAGAAAAAAGTCAAGCGTAGAGATAAATCAGGATTCAGTGTTAATAAATTTCAACGTAATCCAAGAGGTTAGATATGATTATACGTACTCTCAATATGTGCGAATTATGGGTTGGATC